ATCGATGGCGGTCAGAACATCCCTTTTCTTTACTAGAGGAATACCGCCTTTCACACGGTGCCTTTGTGATCGAAGACGTGAAGTAGCCTGTATGAGAGCCGTCTGGACGAGTCGCTTGGTGACGGAGAGAACAAGTGTGTGGAAGTCGTTGAAGGCGGTCCGGTAGATGCTTGGTTCTCGAGCCAGCTCCGAGGTGTACTCGGACCAATGTGGCCAAGGGGATGGTATTGTAGGCGAGCGGTTCATGAAGACGGTCTTGGAGAGAGTGAGCATGACCTGTGGGTGTAATAGAGTGGCTTCTGGAATATCTTCGAGGATGCCGTGCTTTCTCTTGGGCGCTTTCTTGTCAGATTGGTCGCCTGCCTCTGGTTTGAGAGATTGTTCGGGATATGTGCATTCGCCCGTATTCCGTCGTACGCAGTTGGCGCATGGTGTTGCTCGATCGCACTTTTGCTTGAACTTTTTGCATGAGATACATGCTCTGTGATATGTCAGCATGCTGTTGCCTGGTGTTGGTAGGCCTTGCATACCCTACGACGACTCTTCCGCCTCTCCGTGACGGTTCTGGCTCGCTGGCAGGCGGTGATGTGGTCGCTCGGTCACGACCAGTGTCGTGTGCGCTCTCAATCTTGTCAGCTACAGCAGGCGTGATCAGCCAGTAGTCGCCGAATCTCTCTCGCTCCTGGCTAGCCTCAAAGACGTCCTGCATCCACGCCAGGGCTTCACCCGCAAGATCCAGCTGCTCGTTGCACTCGTCGCCCACGTCGATGGCAGCAGGGACGTCGCGGAGTGTCACCTTAGCATCGCCCTGCCTGGTAGCAGCATCTTGAAGCAACAATAGCAGCTCCTGCGTCTCTGGTATGCTCTTGGTGCCGATCGCTCTTGCTATGCCGGGGATGTCGTCCCTTCCCAATCGCTCAAGCGCCGCGAAGAAGACAGCCTGTTCCTGTGCTGACCAATGTGAAGCGCCGATTTGTCTGTTGTAGTACTGGAAGCTCTCGGCATCCGTCTCGAAGCGCGCAGCAGCCCGAGTCACGTCCTCGTTGAAGAGCACGCGGTAGGCGTCGTTGTACTTTCCCTCGAGGTAGTATTTGCGCACGCGGGCAGGATCGATCGACTCTAGACGACGGCGTTTGCGTGGCGTGTGCGACGTAGACGACTGGCGGCGCGATGTTGGTCGTGTAGGCGGTCGCGAACTTTCATCGCTGGAATCTTCTGACGGTTCGGAATGCTTGTAGTCGGATGCGGAACTCATGGCGGATGCGAGAGGGCAGGCGCGACCTCAGTATCGCCGTGGAAGATATGCTGAGTCACGTCATGTGGTTGTGCGCGTATAGCGGCCATGGTGGGCGGTGATGGTCGCAGTGTCCCAAGGTTGGTGAAGAGCGCGGAAACATTTTGGTGGGGCCAGGCCTCGGCGTACCGCGTCTTGTACCATGGACCTGCGTCATGCATCGTGACTTGGCAACATCTTCGCTCCCACTTTGTCCTGGCACGCGTCTTGATGTTCCGCTTCGCCCAGCATGCGTTGAGGAACTGCACGCGAATGGGCTACCAGCCTGTTTGCGCAACCACGAGATATGCTTCAAGAAGGGCCAAGAGCCCCCAGGCCGTGGTCCCCAGTCCGCCCCCAGCTCCTCCGCCTCCGCCTCCACCGCCGCTGAAGATCCAGCTGCGCGAGTACCAGGAAGACTGCATACAAGCTGTGCTGTCCTACCTCGATGCTGGCCACAAACGCCTCGGCGTCTCTCTGGCGACGGGTTCCGGCAAGACCGTCATTTTCACCCACCTCATCGACCGCATAGCCGCCACTGGCGACGCTTCCCAGACGCTCATCCTCGCCCACCGCCGCGAACTCGTTGAACAAGCTGCACGCCACTGCAGCCTCGCATACCCCGATAAACATGTAGACATCGAGATGGGCAACAACCAGGCCTCTGGTGCTGCCGACATAACCGTCGCCTCCATACAGAGCATAACATCGGGTGGACGATTGGAAAAGTTTGACCCTTCGCGGTATAAGCTCGTACTGGTGGACGAGGCACATCACATTGTCAGCCAGACATACCTGGACGTCTTGGAGCATTTCGGTCTGAGACATGCGACTGACTGGACCAAGTCAAACGCTCCTGCCCTCGTCGGCGTGTCGGCCACCTTTTCGCGCTTCGACGGAAGGAAGCTGGGAGCTGTCATTGACCACATCGTCTATCATCGGTATGACACGAGCTTTCTCGAGCATAGACCCAAACTGACACGTCTAGTGACTATGTCGATATGATCGATGAGAACTGGCTTTCCGATGTCATCTTTACAACAGTCGAGATCAAGGCCGATTTGACCAAAGTGGGCACTGGCGCTGGTGGCGACTTCCAAACCGGCGCCCTCTCTACAGTCATCAACACTGCTGAGACGAACGAGCTCGTCGTCAAGACTTGGCTAGCAAAGGCAAGGGACCGACACTCCACCCTCATATTCTGCGTCGACCTCAGCCATGTTACCGACTTGACCGCTAGGTTCCGGACGTCCGGCATCGATGCCCAATATGTCACCGGTGACACACCTCCAAAGATCCGCAGCGCGCGTATAGACGCTTTTAGGAATGGCGATTTTCCGGTGCTGCTGAACTGCGGTGTCTTCACTGAGGGGACAGATATTCCAAATATCGACTGCGTGCTGCTAGCTCGCCCCACCAAGTCTCGTAATCTCCTCGTTCAGATGATCGGACGTGGCATGCGGTTACATAAGGACAAGCAGAATTGTCACATCATCGACATGGTTTCGGCACTTAGCACCGGAGTAGTGTCAACGCCTACGTTGTTCGGCCTCGACCCGGGCGAGATCGTCGACCAAGCAGACACTAAAAGCTTGACGAAGCTTAAAGAAAAGAAGCTTTCTGACAAGCAACGCGAAGAGGAAGCTTCCGAGCTTAGGAAGAAAACTGTCGCTAAAAAGTTACCCGGAACCGTCTCATTCACTGAATACGACTCTGTGCATGATCTGATAGCCGATACTTCCGCCGATCAATACATACGCAATATTAGCCAGAACGTTTGGGTTGCCGTTGGCGACGGAAAATACGTTCTCAGTGGCAATACTGGCAACTACTTAGTAATTGAACCATCCGGAGATGTCGAAGGTCGTTTTATCGCCAAGTACCACTGGAAGTTGCCGGCTGATAAAATCGTCAACAGCCCCTGGGGTAGAGCGCGTGTCATCGCCGAAGGTGACTCATTCGACCATGTTGTTCACGCGGCAGACACATATGCGATGGATGCTTTCCAACACTTCTACATCTCAAAGCATCAAGCATGGCGTAAGGGTCGTGCGTCGCAAGCTCAGGTCGACTTTTTGAACAAATTCCGTCCCAAAGAAGATGCCTTAAAGCCGGAAGATGTGAGCAAGGGCAAGGCGGGTGACATGATTACTCGCCTCAAACATGGAATGAAAAGTCGATATGACAAAGCGGGCGTCAAAGAAAGGACTGAACAGCGCAAGAAAGCTCGTGCGGAAACCATAGAGCAACGACTCCAAGGACAAGTACGAGTCGGGCCTTTGGAGCAAGGCTCAACACTCAAAGAGAAGCTGCTTGAGTAAGGCATCGCGATCTTTGCATATATCTCGCATGAGAATGTCTTCGCAGACACGATCTAGTGTCGCGGAAATAATGTTGGCTTGCAGCTCCTAGCGATAACCTCGCACTACGCTGAGTCGCTAGCCTCGGCAAGTGCGCAGCCGCGGAGAAATACAAATTCGAGCACGCAGACCTACCAGACCATTCATGGTATCTCCGACGCGTGGTTTCCTGCTCGTTTTGTGACTTATCCCTCATAAGCTGGAAAACAAGCAGGAAACCACGCGTCAGAGATACTATGAGTGGTCTGGTGTACTATGGTTGTTGAGTTGAGAAACACTGAAGCCAAGGCTTCCTTCGGACGCGTGATTTCCAGCTTAGAGCTATAGTCAGAGTGTGCTGTTGCAAGGCTGAGAAGAAAGATTCAATGATTTTAGTTTTTAAATCTTTGAATCTTTCTTCTCAGCCATGCAATAGCACACTCTAGCTATGGCTCTAAGCCAGAAAACAAGCAGGAATATGTCGCGTCTATTTCGCATGCGACGAAATATCAACCGAGTCTTTTTCGATACATTGGACTCTGCAGAAGAGTGACAAATGCCATGTCTGCAGACCACAATTTGTTCGCAATAGTCCCAATACCAGAACTGTTACACGCGATTTCGCCCTGTGAGCACTAGGAAGTTTCAAAAATTCGCGCAATATTGGCAACTACCGTGCATTAGACCAGACCAAAGAATGCGCAAGTCTAGCATCTCTAGAGCGACCGATCATCCGCTCAAGTATGGCATCTCCGCTGGATGGATGTTGGATCCACATCAAGAGCCGAGCCCCCACACCAAGTTCAGCCTTCTCGGTCCGGCCAGGAACAGACTTTAGCGGCATCAAGGCCCGCTAACGCCATCGCGTACACATATCACGCGCTATCCCCAATCTGAGCGTTAAAGATAAGCTCGCATATCAGAGCGTATCTGGTATGGTAATTCGAGATGACCGAAGCCTGGCGTTCGATGCTAGCTAGGATGATGACGGAATGCTGGATGCGATTGTTCCCCACAGATCGAAGTAGAGTTTCCGCGGTATTGCTGTGCAGCGGCTGACGTTGACCATACCGTTGACGTATCCAACTAGCTGGTTGAAGGGTGCCACTACGTTCTTAGAACACTCCGGGTTTAACGTAGTATCACCAACTCCAAACAACTTCGATTGCCCCATCTGCCTTTTGTCCGGTCTAGTCTGGTCTGGTATCTCAGCATCGTCATCTTGCCTATACGTCGCTTTGCGCATATCCTTTCCGCTCCATCGGCATAATTTCATGAATATTTCCAAACCTGTTTGATCACAGTGGCCGTCACGTATAGCACAAGCCCTATACCGATCCTACTGAATCTTCCCCAAGTCTCGGTACCCCATCTCCTAGTCACGCATCATGAGCGTGGCAACCCAAAACCCGGCGGGAGTGCCCGTCCCTCCTGCCCATGAACATCAACCACAGCCACATGCCGCGTCGAAATCGATACAATTGCCGCCATCACCACCAGAGACCGTGAACGGTGACGACACCAAGTCTACCACGTCGACATCAGAAGCAGACTTTCCGCTTCCACCACCAGCGAATACTCCACCACAAGTTCTGGACGTTGATAAACCCACCCCGGACGCGCATGTACCAAGAGACCCCAGACTAATCCGGCTAACGGGTGTTCATCCTTTCAATACGGAAGCACCGTTAACGGACTTGTTCAACGAGGGTTTCTTGACTAGCCCAGAGTTGTTCTATGTGCGAAACCATGGCCCAGTGCCTGATGTACAGGATGCAGAGTGTCTTGATTGGGAGTTCTCGGTTGAAGGGTATGTTGCGCTCTTGGAAGATGATGTCTTGATACTAAACGTCCATTAGTCTAGTAGCCAACCCTCTCAAGATCACGTTGCGACAGTTGCTTGAAGAATACGAAAACGTCACATATCCCGTAACTCTGGTCTGCGCCGGTAATAGGCGGAAAGAGCAAAACGTCGTGAGGAAGAGCAAAGGATTTTCTTGGGGCCCAGCCGGCGTTTCAACAGCGCTATTCACTGGTGTAGTCATGAAAGACATCATCGAGCGAGCGAAGCCTCTACGGAAAGCGAAGTACGTGTGCATGGAAGGTGCTGACAAACTTGTAAGTCGCATTTCGGTGGACAACGTACAATGTCTAACACTATGCATAGCCCAACGGATACTACGGCACATCAGTGAAACTCAACTGGGTCATGGACCCAAACCGGGGCATCATGTTGGCGCACAAGATGAATGGCGAAATGCTGAGGCCCGATCACGGCAAGCCTTTAAGAGCCGTGATACCGGGACAGATCGGTGGCCGAAGCGTGAAGTGGTTGAAGAAGTTGATCGTTACGGCTGAGCCAAGCGACAACTGGTACCACATTTACGACAACCGAGTGCTACCGTATGTGCCTCGAACTTGGAAATGGGATCAAGACTAACATTTTACAGTACCACTGTCGACCCAGATGAGGCAGCCAAGAACGCGAAATGGTGGATGGACGATCGCTACGCCATCTATGATCTCTCACCCAACTCGGCTATTGCATGTCCCGCCCACGAAGAGAAGCTGGCCTTATCTTCAAGTCCCGAATCGTACAACGTCCGGGGTTACGCCTACAGTGGTGGTGGACGACGTGTGACAAGATGCGAACTATCGCTCGACAAGGGAAAGACATGGCGACTTGCGAAGATCGATTACGCAGAAGACAAGTACCGGGCCTTTGAAGACCGACAACTATACGGCGCAAGATTGGACATGGACTGGCGCGAAACGAGCTTCTGCTGGTGCTTCTGGAATCTGGAGATTAGCACTGCCGAGCTGAAAGAGGCGGATGATATCGTGGTGCGGGTGATGGACGAAGCGATGTGCGTTCAGCCAAGAGATATGTACTGGAGTGTGTTGGGCATGATGAACAACCCATGGTTCCGCATAGTTATTCACAAGGAAGACGACGTACTCCGATTTGAGCATCCGACGCAACCCGCGTTGATGCCTGGTGGCTGGATGGAGCGTGTCAAGAAGGCTGGTGGAAATCTCACGAACGGATACTGGGGCGAGAAGATAGGAGGTGAAGAGCCAGAACATGCTGCCATCGAGGAGGTGAAAGAGATCAAAATGACGAAAGATGGGGTTGACAAGGTCATCGAGATCGATGAGCTGCGGCAACACGACAAGGCTGAGAACCCATGGTTCGTGGTCAACAGCGAAGTTTACGATGGCACTGCTTTCCTGGAAGGCCACCCGGGCGGTGCGCAGAGCATCATAAGCGCAGCGGCCCAGGACGCTACAGATGAGTTCATGGCGATTCGTGAGTCCCATATCACCGAAACAAACGGCACAACCCCGGCTAACAATAAGCAGACAGCGAAACAGCCAAAGCTATGATGCCAGACTACCACATCGGCACCCTCTCAGAAGCCTCCCGCAAACTCCTTTCAGAACCCGAACACATCCCCGAATCCACCACCCCTCGCCCCATCTTCCTCGACTCCCGCAACTGGCGCAAAACACTCCTCCATTCCAAGACAAAAGTCTCCTGGGACACACGCATCTTCCGCTTCAAGCTCGACCATCCGGATCAAGCGCTCGGCCTACCCACCGGCCAACACCTCATGATCCGTCTCCGCGATCCCGTCACTCGCGAAGCCATAATTCGGTCCTACACACCCATAAGCCAAACCACGCAAACCGGCTACTGCGACGTCCTCATCAAAGTCTACGCCGACACACCCCACCGCGCCGGCGGCAAAATGACAAAAGCCCTCGACTCCATCCCCACAGGCCACTGGGTCGATTTCAAAGGCCCCATCGGCAAATTCGAGTACCTAGGCCGCGGTCTCTGTGCCGTCAACGGCAAGGAGCGGAGAGTGAAGCGTTTCTTCATGATCTGCGGCGGCAGTGGCATCACGCCCATCTTCCAGGTCTTACGCGCTGTCATGCAGGACAGAGAGGATGAGACGCATTGCACTGTTCTCAACGGCAACCGGCTGGTAGAAGATATACTGTGCAGAGAGGATTTGGATGCTTTTGCCAAGGACAACACGGAGAGGTGTAAGTTGTTGTATACGTTGACTCAAGGACCGGAGGATTGGCAGGGGTTGAGGGGCCGGATTGGCAAGGAGTTGTTGGGTGAGCATTGTGTTAGGGATGGAGGGGAGAGTTTGGTGCTGATTTGTGGACCGGAGGCGCTGGAGAAGGCGGCGCATGAGGCGTTGAATGAGCAGGGTTGGAAGGACGAGGAGTTGATGTTCTTCTAGGGTCGATGTTGTTGTTTGTGGAGTTTTGGGGCATTGGAGGGATTGGGATACATATTATTTCGGTCTATTCACTGTATATAAAGTCGCGTTTCTCGAATTGCATGTACTGCATTTGCTTGAAGAGCCAAAGTATGCCATACTACAAGCACACCTTCAACAATTCTATCACCAAGTCCCTTGCTCGTTCCCATCACGTGTAGGGCCAAGACCAGTCTGGACATGACATCGCACTTTACCCGCCCATCTCGATCCTGTCCATCGTATAACCCTCCAAGCCGAACCACACATGTACAATGACATCCCCCGGAGACCATCAACCACAAACCCGCATCTCCGTCCTCTCCTCTCCTGATAACGAAGCGAGACGTCCCCCTGTCGCCAAGCCGCCTAGCTCGCGATAAGGAACACCCAACCAGTGCCAAACCCACCCGACGCGTCTCCACATCACACCTGTCTTGAAATCTCCACGGAGAACGCGTCTCCATCGCCCCCTAGTAACATTAATGAGCAATGTCAATTGTTTGACTGGACGCGCCACGGTATCCTTGTCGTTCATTACTGCCGCAGGAGCGGGAGCTAGGATGTGGTACAGACAGTTGCAGGGGATAGCAGCAACCCCGCTGCGTTACGATGCATTTCCGCGACCACCGCGGGGCATGCGTGATTGGGAGACGGGATGATTGAGCTATCTATCCTTTCGTATGTGGCGGAGGGGTTGGCGCGGGAGGGCAAAGCGCGTGTTGGGTCGACGCGCGGGAGATGTTCGTGCCACGGAGTTGTTGGTTGCGGCTATTGAGGTATCTTGCTCTACTGATTCTACTCGCTGAAGTCATCTCTTGCCTTTGCCATCTTTCCCTCTCCCAAACTTCTGTTTCCTACTCTTCTTGGAGTGAGTGTTGCAGTTTACGCTTACGCATACGCATACGCATTGTGGTATCTTGTGCCCTCTTGGCTGAGTGTGCTAGTTCGACTACTTGCTTCAGAGGTACATCTGTCGTCTTGATATTCAGATACCCGGGGCTTTGATAGCCTTCACGCACATCATGGCTGAGACGGAGCCAATCGTCACACAAGGCATCGAGCCTTCATCTGGCGAATCACACTCCCCACCTGGCGACCGCCATATTACAGCGACATGGGGATCGAAAGACGGGAACATATCGAATGCGGAGTGGAACGACGCGGAAGCTAACAAGCTGCCTGAGAAGGTAGCTGATCTGGAGAAGAAGGGCGAGATCAATGATCAACATCCACGGAAGAAGATTGTGGTTGTTGGATTGGGTATGGTGGGCATTGCATTCATGTAAGTTGGCAAGGCTTTTTAGATAAAAGAGTAACAGCTAACTCGTCCAAGAGAGAAACTCATGAAGTACGATGTGAAGCGGAGAGAATACGACGTGGTTGTCATTGGTGAAGAGCCACATCTTGCATACAACCGCGTCGGTTTGACGAGCTTTTTCCAACATCGGAAAGTCGAGAACTTGTATCTCAACCCCAGGGAATGGGTAGGTTCAGCATCAAGCGAGGACGAAATGTATGCGGCTAACTTCATCCTAGTATGCATCGATGCCGGAAGGCTCGCTGAACTACCATCTCAACACCCTCGTCACCGAAATCGATTCCACCGAGAAGAACGTCAAGACTTCATCCGGCGAAACGGTACCCTACGATATCTTGGTCCTGGCAACAGGGTCCGACGCGCTCCTCCCACGACACACACCCGGCCATGACGCGAATGGCGTATTCGTATACCGCACAATCGAAGACCTACAAAGACTCATCGACTTTTCCTCGACAAGGAAAGGTACAACAGGCGCTGTAGTCGGTGGTGGTCTGTTAGGTCTGGAAGCCGCACACGCGATGATGGACCTTGAAGATTTCGCGAAAGTGAAGCTCATTGAGCGGAATCGATGGGTGCTATCGAGACAACTGGATGGCGACGCGGGCGGTATGGTCGTCGAACAGGTCCGTGCTTTGGGCTTGGATGTCATGCTAAGCAAGAGAGTGGGCAAGATCTTGACAACCGAGGACAACTTCGTCAAGGGTGTGGTGTTTGAGGATGGTGATGAGATGGAGTGCTCGTGCATTTGCTTCGCGGTGAGTAACATTGGACCGCGCAACAACGACAAAAGCTGACTTTAGCAGATCGGCATCAAATCAAGAGACGAGCTCGCCCGGAAAGCCGGTATCAAATGCGCCGATCGAGGAGGTGGTATCGTAGTCGGCCCTGACCTAGCGACTTCACAACCGGACATCTACGCCGTAGGAGAATGCGCCAGCTGGGAGAACCAGACATTTGGTCTCATCGCTCCTGGTGTCGAGATGGCAGACGTACTCGCCTTCAACCTCACACAAGCGAAAGCACACGCGCCACGCAAGTTCAAAGCACCTGATCTCAGCACCAAGTTGAAGCTTCTGGGTGTCGAAGTCGCGAGCTTCGGTGACTTTTTCGCGGATCGCGATGGACCGAAGAACATGCCTGGACGGCCACGAGCTGAGAAGAAAGATGCCAATGGAGCGACGCCGAGAGATCGAGTTAAGAATTTGACGGATGGACCAGCGCCACCACCGGTCAAGGCTCTGACATACAAGGATCCATTCCAACAAGTGTACAAGAAGTATCTGTTTACCATGGACGGAAAGTACCTGTTGGGTGGCATGATGATCGGCGACACGAAAGACTACATCAAGCTGGTGCCTATGGTGAAGAACCAGAAGCAGTTGGAGATGGCGCCAAGTGAGCTTATCGTTGGTGCGCAGAAGGGCGACGACGATGGTTCAGATCTGTAGGTTGCACTGCGCTCATACAAGAATGCTGTACTAACATCACATAGATCCGGCGACACTCAGATCTGCTCATGCCACAACGTTACCAAAGACGATGTGGTCAATGCAACCAAGGATGGAACATGCAAGAGCATCGGCGACGTTAAGTCTTGCACCAAAGCTGGTACCGGATGCGGAGGCTGCATGCCGCTTGTGCAGACGATCTTCAACAAGACCATGGCTTCCATGGGCAACGAAGTCAAGAATCACCTCTGCCCACATTTCGAGTACTCGCGCGCCGACCTCTTCAACATCATCTACGTCAAAGGCCTGAAGGACTTTGCTGCTGTCATGAAGGAAGCTGGAAAAGATCCAAATTCCTTGGGTTGCGAAGCCTGCAAACCCACCATCGGAAACATCGTCGCCTCTCTGTACAACAAGCATCTACTGGAAGTCAACAACAGGGGTCTACAAGATACCAACGACAGATTCCTGGCTAACATCCAACGCAACGGCACCTTTTCAGTTGTTCCGCGAGTTTCTGGTGGTGAGATTACCCCGGAGAAGCTGATTGTCATCGGTACCGTCGCGAAGAAGTACAACCTCTACACCAAGATCACCGGTGGTCAGCGTATCGACATGTTCGGCGCACGGAAACAAGACCTCCCCGACATCTGGCAAGAGCTCATCGATGGCGGAATGGAGTCTGGCCACGCATACGCCAAGTCACTACGAACAGTCAAGTCATGTGTCGGTACTACATGGTGCCGATTCGGTATCGGCGACAGCGTGGGCATGGCGGTGCGTCTAGAAGAACGCTACAAGTCCATCCGTGGGCCCCACAAGATCAAGGGTGGTGTGTCCGGCTGTGTACGCGAGTGCGCTGAAGCACAGAACAAGGACTTTGGTCTCATTGCGACTGAGAAGGGCTTCAACATATTCGTGGGCGGCAACGGTGGCGCGAAGCCACGACACTCGGAGCTACTCGCCAAGGACGTACCGCCAGACGATGTGGTGCCCATCCTCGACCGCTACCTCTCTTTCTACATCCGCACAGCCGACAAGCTCCAACGAACAGCGAGATGGATGGAGAACCTCCCCGGCGGCATCAAGTACCTTCAAGAAGTCATCCTCGAAGACAAGCTAGGCATCTGCGCAGATCTCGAGAAGCAGATGGAAGACCTCGTCGGCACCTTCTTCTGCGAATGGACCGAAGTACTCAAAGACCCCAAGAAGCGATCCTGGTTCTCCCAATTCGCAAACACATCCGAAACCATCGTCGACACCATCGAACCGACCCAAGAGCGCGGTCAAGAACGACCCTCATACTGGCCCAAAGACTCCATCACAGAAGACTTCCGCGGCACGAAATGGACAGAACTATCCTGGCAGCCCCTCGTCAAAGCCGAAGAGTTCAAAGACGCAGACACAGGCGACAGCAAAGCCATCAAGCGCGGCGACACGCAACTCGCCGTCTTCAAAGTCCGCGGCAAATACTACTGCACCCAGCAAATGTGCCCACACAAGCGCGCCTTTGTCCTCTCCGACGGCCTCATCGGCGACGACCTCGCCAACAACAAACTCTGGGTCAGCTGCCCGTACCACAAGCGCAACTACGAACTCTCCGGCGACAACGCGGGCAAATGCGCAAACGACGAGAGCGTCAACATTGCTGTTTTCCCTATCGAGGAACGCGGTGATGGATGGCTGTATGTCAAGTTGCCCAGTGTGGAGGAACTGGATAGTGTGCTTGGTACGAGTAAGTTTAAGATTAAGAAGAGTGAGACGGAAGATCCGTTTGTGGCGCTGGATAAGAAGTTGCAGAGGATGCAGTTGAAGGGGCGGAAGGGGATGCAGGTTTCGCATCTTGAGGGTGGGTTGGGGGAGAAGGCGAAGGCGGCGCAGATACTGGCTGGCGGGGAGAGGGGGGCTGGAGGACTGGACTGGTAGTCTTTCGTTGGTATGAGCATATCTAGGACGGCGTCGTGGTGTTTGTTTGTATATATGATTCCCATCATTGGATTTGTACAAGAATCGGTACATCACTCTCGCGTTCAATCACTTCTTCCTTCATTGTTGGCCATGGGATTGACTTGTGCAGTCGTGTGATCGCCTCAGCCTCTGCATGCTGGCTCCCAGTTCTTTGGTATAATAGCGCTATGGGTTAGGGGTCTCTTGACCCGCCGATGGGTGTTCGATCATGCATGATCATTCAAGTTCGATGCTTCAGCCCTGTTCATAGTGTTGAGTTGTACGTGGCACCTATCGGTGACTTTCAGTATCGACGTAGCTGCTGGTCTTGGGCTAGTCTTCCAACTGTATGGTTGTTGAGATGATTTCTTCACTAAAGTCGTTGCGATCGTTTATCGTGGGGCGGATGATGAGCATTCCACCCGCAGTCATGTGGCACGAGCATGAACGTAGTGGTTGACATGTGATTGTGGTACATGTTCACAGTCACTTCCTGAAAACTGACTGTTGTTCGTTCCAAGTTGGTTGCATGCTTGCTGCTTCATCCCGGCCGAATTTGCCATCCTAAGTGTATTGAGCGTTTAACGAAGTGTTGGAACTTCCCCGCACGGAGTCGCCGTACTTGGGCACACGTGGAGATGATGAATCTGAAACAACGGTGAGGCTGTTGTGATCAAACTAGGCAAGTAGTCGCAGCAAGCTGTGTGTGTAGTATATGATGCTCATCGGCTGACGGGCAAAATTGGGAATGACCACAGGCTCCCCTTCCGAGTATTAGGCATATGTACCTTGCCTAGTCTGTGCAGCGAAGCTGTGATGTCCGGAACATTAGTTGCAGATGTGGCGTTGACGGTCAGACTGGCACGGCGGGATCCGCTACACAAACGACGGATCTGATACTTGACCAGATAAAACGTGGTTGGAAGCACAAAGCTAAAGTCTGACGGAGAGTCTCAGTGAGATCAGTTGATCGCATTCCCAGTATGTTTTGTGTCTCACAAAGAGTAGCGCATGACTCCTTCAGTGCAGAATGCCCCGATAATCGCCAGTACCTTTTTACTTTTCCCCCATACCACCCAGGCACCCGGTAGTAGTGGCAGCCCCGTATTGATCGTATGGGTACAGCAACCGTTGACCAGTCATGTTTTGGCCTCACGTTTGACACAGGTAATCCGTAAGAGTGTCTGCTCATTATCGTATCATAGTTTGCTCCGATGTAGGCGCTCCTTCACATGTAGCTCAGCCCACGCTGACCGCCAGGGCTCTCAGCCTTGGATACCGCCTTGACACCGCCTTGACCCAACGCCAGCGTGGCATTCAGGTAACTCGTTTAGGCATAGAGCAGTGGCTGAGGCTGTTGAGAAAGCTCCCACGCGCCGTTGTCTGCGTATCTCTCAGTTTCGCATCTGAACTAAGCTTTTGTTGAGATCCTGCACTCATCCTAGCCGATGAGATTAAATCGATCAACATGAACGGCGTCCCTTTGAGTAGACTTAGCTTCGATGGGACGATCAAAGAAAGAGTCCGATGAAGCCGACAGGATGACTGTCGTTCCATTGCAGTAGCATTCAGTGTCGTATCGGGGCGTAGCACAAAGCACACCGCTGGGTGGATGATCGAAGCAGGGCGCATCGCGCACTCGATTGGATTTCCATGAACTGGAACAAACCTCCGGTACCAAACGACTGACGTGTCTTTGTTGCCGTCACACTGGACCGAAAGGACAGGGGCTGGTGCTGCCTTAGTGGTTGCTTTCATCGTCGTCGCAAGCAAACATCTCTGTGGCACATCAATCTTGGCGCGAGGGGTGAACAAGGTCCGTAGGCTCGGTCACCCGGCATGCGAGGCAATAACGCTCTCACCGGTACTTGATGCGTATATAGAGACTGCCCTCTGTGTCAGGTACTGTGATTAGCGCAGTCCACTTCTTTCTCAGCGAACAGCCAAACCTCTTTTGTCAATTCCCCAGCAACATCTATCCAAAACTCATCGGCGTTTTTGAGATACTAGCATTCGAAATATGAGGATAAAATTCAGCGGGCTCCGTCCTATCACTGTAGATCGTCAAACGTTCTCTGCTTGGTTTCCTCAGCTGTCGGGCATGCACGGTATCGATGGAGACGAGCTTGTGGAAGATCTCGACACCCGACTTCAACATCGTTATGGAATACCGAGTCGTATGATCGAGTATACTCTCTCGGAACTGTTCAAGAAACTTGGCCATTACTCATGCTTTGACTCGGGGCAAAAGCAAAAGCGCCTTATCCAGGAGCTGTGGACTCAGCTGGTCAAGGATGTCAAGAACGTTTATCATAGCAGCAAAGGTCTCCGAAGTTCGCGGCAGATGTTCATCACACTTTCGTATCTAGCAGCGGATCATGCGTCTATTTTGCTGGCTGAAGCGCTCGCTCAATTCTGGGTGCATTTCGAATCTCTGATATCGCAAGAGTCGCCAACATATCTTGGGGACTGGGCGAGGGCTTTAGCGAAGGTACAAGAGGCACTGGAAGGACCTACGACGAGGAATCTCGAGCCCTTCGCCATTATGCCATACGCTGGCTATCACCGTGGTCGCACTCCCCGAGCCTTGCCCTGGCCAGGTCACAGGGCACGGTCATTGCCTGTCATGCGACGTCGCCACAGCCCGGATATGAGCCTCGCCATCCCAACGTACCCGAGCTCTGGTTGGGCTTCGCCGATGATATCACCGGTCGGATATCCGAGAGGCGATTACTTCGACGAGCTTCAGAACCTCCAGTGGCAACAGAGCGAGATGGACATGAAATTGGACAGTGTTGACGGGAAACTGGATGTTCTGCTTGGTGGGTACGGTAGGTACGGTTATTATTGAGCAAGAGCAACGCTTCTTTGGTTTCGACCAGAGATTGCATTGATCTACTGCTCTGTGATGGCTTGCATGAGGGACCATTGGGTTAACGAAGAGGCGAACGTTCGACTACCGACATTGACGATCCGATCTGTACCATACGCGAGAGTTGGGCTCATCCAAGAAGTGTAGCGAAACTGAGATGGAATATGGAAATGGTTTTTGGTGGGCAGGCTCTACACCTGTCGTGTTTTGAGATATGAATGCGTCGTGGGGTGCTCTAGCGAGGCGTTGCATTTACGGCCTGTTTCCCAAATTACGTAGCTTTCAGATAGTAAGATGAGAGCCTTGTCTGGCATCTCGAGCATATCCTGCCATTCTCACAGCGGTCTGTAAGCCATATTCCGAAGGGAAAAATGGGATCGCGTATTCCAGAATCTTAACAAATGATGTACCGTGCGTTTGATGTTGCTTCCCATTTTTACAGATGGGACCTGCTTTTCGTCAATGCGTGCACAAAAACGCGTACGTCGATCCGTACTGTCCTGAGGCGATGGTACTGAGCTAAGCCAAACCATAGCGTGAGTAGTAATTGGCTAGAATCGTATGAGGCGGCCACGCGCGTTGTCGAAGCAAACTTGTGCGACTGTTCAACGTATTCGTCTGTTTGTCGATCGATCGGGAGGGCTGACGGTAGACCTAGTGGTCAACACCGTTGAGCATATAATGATGACAGCGGCCTGTCGAGCGAAATCTTTTCGGCCTTCTGTACCACCACCCTTTCCTCCCAACACAGCATCGATATCGTTCGCGCAAGATTGCGTTCTTTCCGAAAAACAATTGTTGGTCCATGTGGGATATTGTGACGATAAGACTCGCTGCCGATGTAGTTCTCCACCCCAGTCTGAGCGGATTGCAAAAGTGGCTTCCAGATGTCGCTCGCAACCTGGGATTTGCCAGAACATTCGACAGCCGGCGCCTGATATCACAGATGGCGGAGGCTTTCTCCAAGAAACTGCAGTATCCCGTCACATCCGACACTATCGTCACAGCTCTTGGGGAGTTCATCGGATACCTTGCGCCAAAGTCCAATTTCGCCGCTTCGACCGGAACACGCCTAGATGAGCATATGAAGGACTGTCTCAGAAAAGACTTGGGCGTCATGGAGACCTCGGACCTTCGTTGCAGCAGGCACCGGTTTCTGATATTTTGCTCAGTCGCTCGGGCCACTCGATCGCAGGCATTGGCCGCGTCCATGATGGGTTTCCTGCAAGGTCACCTACACGAAGTCGTGTACGATGAGCAACCTGGGATGCGGAGGGAGTGGTGCATGGGCCTCATTGCATTGGAAGGCTTGGTATCCGAGCGAGTCCTGGAGCAGCTGTTACGCTGTTTCTCGGGTGCTGTCGGCCGATCATACGAGATGAGGCGGCAGCCAGCATACTACGACCCATGCGCTGCGGTGATGATGAAACGGCAGCACTATCCGTTCTTCGGTCATCAATGTGGGATAATGCCACCGAGGCTCGAAGACCCAAGAGACAGATGGCTATCTGTTGGCCGTCCTCATCGGCATCGATATCGTCAACACCATCCTCGAAATGCATATCCATGGATCCAGCGGAATGGACGTTTTGATGATGTCGGAAGGCTGCAATATCAGCAGGAAAGGATATACTCGAAGCTCAATCATATTGGCCGGAAGCTCGAGGACTTGTAGTGAAGCTCGAGTAACCATAGTTGGCAGGGGAAATGGACTTTGACGAGCGATTCAACGATATGGCCGAACTGTGCACACATGCTTGATTGTTTTCTTGCCGAATCGTATCAGATTTACTAATCCGTACCTGTAACGATTTAGTTGGCCTCGAAGTAGCATGAGGTCCATTACAAACTTACTGCTATATCGTCATGTTGCGCGAAACATCACACCCATTCTCCTCTGAATATACACTATGCTCCATGCGCCTCGCTAATTCAAATGATGTCCCCTGAATGTCTAGAAAACCGTCCTATCCACGATCCAATGACCGTGGCTAGGCCATTACCTCAAATAGTGAATGACCAGCCAGCAGAACAGGAAGAAGACGACGACTCCACCCCAGAAAATCCACTTGTCTTGCTTGGCTCTCCGCTCAACCATGCGGATGGTATCGCCACTGATTCCCAGGGTATTCGCAACCGTGTATAGCCGTCTCTGTGTTCCCTTGAGCATCTCTCTCTGCTGTCCCAGATCGCCAAGGACCGTCCGTCCTCTGTCTAAGAACTCATCCAACTGCTCTGACGTCTTGTTGAAAAAGGTGTTTTCCCTCAGCACATGGCCCTCGCGGTCGTAGTCGCCACCCGCTGGTGCGCCAGCCGAATAGGGGTTCGGTCGGTAGGGAGCGTTGGGGTTGTAGGGTTGGGAAGGTGCGAACGCCGAATGTTGGGCAGAGAGATTAGGCTGGGCATAGGGGTTTTCGGGGGTTGCTGTGTTGTGTGGACGACGGCCTAGCAGTTCTGTTCGTGCCTCTGTGGTTTGCTGCTCCTAGTCAGCAACGGCGCTCGCAATGACAAGGCGAGAGTCTTAGGCGTCGGTTCGAAACGTACAATTTCCTCGTTTACACCTTTTATGCGCTTGAAGTTTGTCCGGTACTCTTCGAGTTCAGCCCGGAAGTTCTTTAACCTCTCATGTGCCTTTTCTGCTTTGGTTTGCACAGGCTCTTGCTTTGCAAGCTTGCCATAGTCGTCGATGGTGCGCGCAAATGTGGCTAGGGACGCGTTTAGTTGGGCTTGGAGATGTGGTGATGGCGAGGCTGAGTCGGCAAATTGATCCAAGTCTTTTCGTATCGATGTCGATTGCCGTAAGGCGTTGTTGAAGAGCGCGTTCTGTTTGCGACGTAAGTTTGTGTTGAGCAATGAAAGTAGATGAGGCGTACCATTGCGGATTGTCAAGGGTTATGTCTATTTGGAGTGATTGCAACACCTCAATATAGATTTGAGATGTAGCGCGAGGTTTGTTACGGTGAAGGTTATACTGTAGCCTTGTAGGCAGACTTTCGCGACTTGACACATTGCATCATCGCGAAGTCCGACTGCTGGACCCTGAGTTGCCAAGCTTTTAGCGCATCAGCGCTAGCAGCATCGTAGAATTCCCTCCAGTTCACTCTCCATGGTCCGACATCTGGGTACTCTACCACGATGCATATAAACTTGCAGCTTGCCCTTACAGCTTCGTGCAAAGCTGCCGATACTCATGTCCGATGCAGACAGCAGATCCTGGCCGAAGTCTGAACCGCCTGGACTACGGTACCCCCGCCCTGGATTCCTGGACGATATCGCGACTACTTCTATAAGTGGCCAACCACAGGGCATGAAGATCCGACGTCCTTGGACTTCTGTTCTGATCAGTAATTGCGGTCTGCGATCCTCATGTTACCCAGCTATGCAGGCTGCGGTGACAGTATGCCCGCACAAGCCACAGTCGTCAGTTCCGCCTAGTGGTTATTCTCCGTTCTACCCTTAGTCATTGCACTGCGCCGTCCTTCTTATCGGCGTTCATCTGGCCTTGTCAAGCCTTCAATCATCCGTGGTTGACGTCGTTCTTCCTTCTCCACCTGCCTAATTCGGTAATCTCCTACCCTGTCGGCAAGTAGCAGGGCTGGGTATTTACGCTTGCCGAGCCGCGGAACAGGTGCATCTCGAGAAGAGATCGCAGAAAATGATGATGGGCACCCACTGCAGACCCAGTGTGCTAACTGGCATGGGAAGTTCGTTGTAGACCACTTCCGATATGCGGATCCATGCCATAATGTGCCGTCTCGCACATTGGGCGACGGCCCATCCCCATTTTCGATATAAGAAGCCGATTTGCGAGCTTTGTGTCGGATAGCCATCTCTTCATAGCAGTCATTATGTTTCTCCGATCAGCACTGTTCGGAAGTGCGCTGCTCTCGAGCGCCTACGCGCACGAGGTTCTTTTCGGTCGCGACCTCCCGCTACCAGTGGCTGCCAACGCGGAGTCATATACCGACTGTGCCAACGCAGCATGGCCTCCGTCCAATGTCGGCGTGGAGCTGATTCCGCAAGCACCAGACGATGAGATGCGAGCTATTGTCAATGAGATCAGTTCAGCAAACATCGAGGCTACGATCACCAAACTTGTATCGTTTGGAACACGCCATACCCTCGCCACATACAACAGCTCGACGCGCGGAGTAGATGCAGCGAGGGATTGGGTTGCCTCCGAGATGCGAAAATATGCTGCGGATAGCAACGGCACGATGACGGTCGAGGTGCAAAGCTATTTGCAAGGAATAGCTAGCAGAATCCCCTTTCCCGTGTACATATCGAATGTGCTTGCGACTGCCAAGGGAAGCGAGACTCCCGACAGGGTATATGTCATGACCGGACATATTGACAGCCGGGTCACTGACGTGCTCAACTACGATGCCGACTCTCCCGGTGCCAACGACGACGCGAGTGGAGTTGCTAGTATGTGTTTCTTGAAAGGATTGTCACAGGATTAGAGCTGACTTATACAAGTTGCGATGGAGATTGCGCGTGTTCTTGCCAAGCATCAGCCCAAGTCAACAATAGTCCTCGGTGCTGTATCTGGCGAAGAGCAGGGTCTATATGGCTCCACTTATCTGGCACAAACACTCAAGAACTCTAGCACGAACGTCGAAGGCATGCTAAACTGCGACATCGTCGGTTCCTCAACTGGAGATCGCGGTCAGAAAGACCCCTACACCATTCGCGCCTTTGCTCAAGGTGTTCCGCCTCTTTCAGCCGAAAACAACGTCACAGCAGCGCGACGACTCCAAATCGGTGGCGAAAACGATAGCCCTGCACGAGAGCTTGCGCGCTTCTCAGCTGAAGTCGCTGCCAACAATGCCACCGGCATGAACGTAGCCATCATCTACCGCTTGGACCGCTTCTTACGTGGAGGTGACCACACTGGGTTCCTCCAAGCGGGTTACCCTGCTATCCGCTACACGGAGCCTAACGAGAACTTCGCTCATCAGCATCAAGATCTGCGCACCGAGAACGGCACCGTCTACGGCGACCTAATCGAGTTTGTCGACTTCGACTTCACAGCACGTGTTGGCAAGGTCAATCTCGCGACCCTTTGGTCCCTTTCACAAGCTCCTGGCATGCCACGCAACGTCACCATCGACACGACAGTTTTGGACAACGACTCGCGCATCAAGTGGATTGTTTCCAATAGCACAGATGTCGCGAGCTACGAAATCGTGTGGCGAGCCACTACAGCAAGCCTGTGGACTCGCATGCTTGATGTCGGCAAAGTTGGGTCAGTTGTGCTTCCCCTCAGCAAGGACAATGTCATCTTCGGCGTGAGGGCCGTCGGTACGAATGGGTACAAGAGTCCAGCTGTCTATCCTTTCCCTGGATAAAGCACTGTTCTACGGAATGACGCAGGCTCGGGACCTCTAACGAACCAGATACTGCCAAATGTACAGTATACGTAACTTTTTGTACGCATCAATGCATGTGTCTAGCGAGTCTACGAGAGACTTGGCTTCTCTACATATGACGGTGTTCTCACACAGGTCCTCGCAAGCATTTCCGCTTTCGGTGTGGTAGTGCCAAGCGTGACCGGGTGGTGCAATATGGTGACTGATTCCGAGTGCAAGACACGGGCAACGTGCGGAATCTATTAGTAACTTCTCATATTTGTTCATCGTTGGTCAGAAATCGAAGTTCATTGTCCTGCGCGGCTCGTGGTTTTGCTCGGTGTTCGTAGCCATGTCGTCTACTCACACCATAACCAAGACAGATGCAAGCGCCCATCGACTTCCAAGTAATGCGCTACAGGCGAGTATCGAATTGCAACATGTAGCACCAGCGACATTACGCGACCAAGGATGTAAACACGATGACCGAAGAAGCAGCGGCATCGAGCCAGCCACATTCCTTCCCCAACCATCAACGACAGTATCAGTAACTGAGCGATGGAACCATCCAAAGGCCAATGTATCCCGCGCATTCGCTGTTCTCTTCGCGTTTATTATCATGGGCGCCAATGATGCCGCATACGGTGTAAGCAATACCATCCTTTCGTATACATGGACACTATTGACGTTACGCAGGCTATCATTCCTTACCTTGAGGAGTACTACGATCTGACATATGTTGTCGTCTCGCTAGTGTTCCTATCTCCGATGGGTGGATACATCAGTGCTGCACTCCTCAACAACTGGCTACACATCCACTTTGGTCAACGGGGCATTGCTTTCCTTGGACCTGTTTGCCATCTAGTGGCCTACGTAGGCATTGCCCTCCATCCGCCATACCCCGTTTTGGTGATCTTGTTCATCTTCTCGGGATTTGGAAACGGCATTGAAGACGCAGCCTGGAACGCCTGGGCAGGCAGTCTAGCGAATGCGAACGAGGTTCTGGGATTTGTGCATGGGCTATATGGGCTGGGGGCTTTGCTTAGCCCGCTAGCTGCTACTAGCTTGATTGCGAAGCGTGGATGGCAATGGTATCAGTTCTACTACATCATGGTCAGTCGCCAAGGACACTCAATACATTGTTGCTAACCTTAAATAAGCTCGGTGGCGCCTGCATTGAGCTTGCGACATCGCTTTATGCATTCCGATCGAGTTCAGGTCAAGTGTATCGAGAAAAATCGCTTCGCGCGAATGCGGAAGGTGAGAGCCGTCTTAAGCAGGCACTCAGAAGTCGCGTCACCTGGATTGCCGCTATCTTCCTCTTCGGATATGTCGGAGCCGGTGGAGCGCTTGGAGGCTGGATCGTTATCTTCATGCGCCGTGAAAGAGCAGGCGGCGAATTCGAATCTGGGGTTGTCGCGACCGGATTCTGGACTGGCATCGCTGCTGGCCGCCTTGTCTTGAGCTTCATCACACCAAAGCTTGGCGAGAAGCTCGCTGTTCTGGTACGGTCAAGATCGGAATGGAACCTGCATAAGCTAATTGCACGACAGATATACATTGTTATCGCCATCACATGCCAACTCATGTTCTGGCTCGTTCCATCCTTCCACGTCTCAGCCATCTTTGTCGCACTACAAGGCTTCTTCCTCGGTCCGCTCTTTCCAGCTGTCATCGTCGCAGCGACTAAAGCTCTTCCGCCACATCTCCATATCTCTGCGATAGGCTTTGCTGCTGCGATAGGTGTTGGCGGAGGTGCTGCGTTACCCTTTGCTATCGGATCGCTTGCTCAAACAAAAGGCCTTGGTGTCCTACAACCTATCATTCTGGCTGTTCTCGCAGCTCTCTTGGTTCTGTGGCTGTGCTTTCCGAAATTGGAAAAGAGAAAGACGGAAGGAGGGGTGCCACTGCTCTCGCCAGAAGAACAAAGAAAATGGTGGCTCAACGTCGATATTGATCTTGTAGAGACCATGAGACGCGTTCTGAGGAGGGCTGCGGGTGGCCAGATGGTCGCAACTGCCTAGGAACGTTGGCACATGGTGTTCATAACCCAGCCCTGAAGGGCTCTTTCCACTTCCACCCGCGCTAGTTTCATTGTGGTGTCAACAAACCGACCCTCACCCTGCCTTCTCTCACCACCTTCGACTTTATGTCTTCGCAGTCGACATCATGTCCTCCAACTCACCCGAGGCTTCATCATGCTCCATCACAGACAAATTGCGCTCTCTGAGAGCTGAAGTGGATGAGCTCGCTAAGACCCTCGCTTCCGATTCGGACTCCTCCACAGAGACGCTTGTCGGACATACACCATCAACACAGAGTGCGGACACTTACCCGGGAGCTGAGACAAAGCCGAGTACGCCATCAACATCAACCAACGACGCCGACCAGAACGAAACTCGCGAAGGACACCCATCCAATTCTGACGACACCGATATCGTGTATCATCCCCATCTCCGCGACGTGAACAGCATCCCCGACCTTGGTTCCACCTTGACGGAACTCGTAGATATTCCCAATGACATCATCAAACGGTACTACGGCGATCGCATCCACTTCTCGAAATTGTACGCTGGCCAACCCTATACAATGGCCTGGTGCATCAAAGCGGATGATGTACTCGATCCTATCGCTATTGTCATACGATGGCCCAACGACTCAAGTCTTGATATCGTAAAAAAGGACGACGACGGCGACAGCATTGCCCATGTTTCAAGACACCAAGAACGGACTAACACCCTGGGGACGGCAGCCGCCAACATTCGTCTGAAATTCGGATGTGATCGGATTGGCTTCTACGACGGTGTGCATCTGATTTTGTTCGTATTCAACGATAAACCCCAGTCAGGTGTCACCGTATTCGTGGGATGGTCAGATGAAATTCGCTACAAGCTCATTATGTGGCTAGGGGAGGCGATCAGAAACACAAACGTACAGATGCTGAAACCGCTTGTGGGATACGCGCTGGAGGACTCGAATCTGGAGGCCGCGGCTCTGGAGACTCCGCCGCAATGTTTCCTACATGACAAACATATCGACAATAGCGAGGTAAGCAGCGCGCTACTCACGTTCGGCGCCCAGTACGGTGGCTGTGCATTCAAAATCTACACAACCCCTGATGGCAAGCTCGTCAAAGTGGGAGACAGCCCACTCCATACTGTCGACGATTCCGCAATCGCCACACCGGAAGGCGTCCTGAAATCCTCACAACTCACTTTGATCGACTTTCTGGTCATTGCCGGTAAGGATCACTCTCCGGCCCTCAAACACAGCTACGATATTGTTCCCGACGCCATCACCTGGTATGTGCGCAAGACCGGCGAACGCAACGCGAAGGAGCTCGTTGGTATAGTTCAGTTTGCTCCTGCCGGCACGATCGTACCCGGCGATTGGGGTCTCCGGAAGCCGGACCTTACGTTCACGAATGGCGAAGGTATCGTGCGCACGGCGAAGCCCCTTCTGGAAGCCATGTTATCATTTGGACAGAAGCGGGAGTGTTATTGCTTGGCATTATTCGACTATCACAACGTCGTCTTTGTGACGCGTTGTAAGGGAACGAAGGTGAATGCAAGCATAGCGTTGATTGGTGGGGAGAGGATTCGCGGCGGGTTCCTTCAGTGGCTGATACGAGCATTGAAGATTGCAGATGAGGATTTCGATGCTGTTCAATGATCTTCCTAGTGCTGAGATGGATGCCATGAATAGCTTACATTACGAGAACTCTAAACCTTGCGTGTCGCATACATACAATTGAATCATCGAGTTATTCTAATCCATCGAATCACGCACATTGGCTCTTTTTCAAACCTTCATAAGACCTCCAGGAAGTTCAGCCAACCCTAGATCGAGTGATTAGTATAGAATTTGTATAATAATACGGCATAACTTACAACCATCAACATCCTCATCAACAGTCCGCGGAATAGTACACTTCATCGCCTCCTCAGTAGTCTGATAGTCCAGCACCGAACACTTATCACCTATACAGCGCGCATTCATAGCACGCTGGAGTGAATCATCCTTCCAGCCAAACACGTAGTCTCCATGCTGCGAGAACCCGTCGCTGTATTGACAACCCGTTAGACTCGATCAACGTTCGAGGAGGATAAAGAGAACTCACCTGTCCCCCGTACTAAGCACAAAAGGCTGACTTCCATCCTCTGGCCACAACCCCTCGTCGTTGAACTCCCTCGTATCCCACATAACCTCATACATAACCTGCGGAATAGCCACAGGATGTGACTCAGGACACGTCCCCGTAGGCCCGACATCGGTTTCTCCCGCCCCGTCCGCATACGCCACATGACTCTGATGATCCGGAGAATCCAGGTTAACGCCATCCCAACACGTGGGGAAAGTGATAACAGAGCGAATACCGCCCGGACAGAAACCCGTAGGAAGTGTCTGCGCATCCGGCGCCGCGCAGTTGAGATGCATGTTATCACCCGTCTCCGGCATACACCTATAACACACCTTCCGAGCCGACGTTTTCTCCGTCGCCAACGCATCCCCAACCAACATGCGAAACCCGGGTCTGAAAGCCGTAACACCAGTCTGATTCTTTGTATCAGGCGTATAATACACCGTTATCCCCGCCGCGCCTTTCAGCCCCTCACTAACAAACTGCGGCACCCTTTTATACGTGCCATTGCGAGCGCGGAAGTACAGGACGGCGGTCCAGTAGTTTGAGAAGTCCTCAGAGAAAGTGCAGCTTGTGCATGTGGAAGCGGTGACGAGGTCGTGCGAGGGGGGCATGGAGGCTGTGAAGGAGTTTCCGCCGACGATTTGGTGGAGGTGGGGGGAGGGGATGAGGGAGGGGGTGACGAGGGGGTCGAGGCGCTCGACGACGAGTTGGGAGCATTGGAAGCGGAGCATGGGGGGGATGGTTATGTTGAAGAAGGGGGGTTGGGCGGTGACATGGCGGGCGAGGAGGATGATGGGGAGGAAGGTTGGTCGCATGTTTGTGGTTGTGAGAGGTGGTCTTGGAAATGAAGATGGGAATGACGAGATGTCAAGAATATACACGACGTGAGCATACAGAAAATGTAGACTCTAGATATCTGCTTTCCGGATTTGCCTGCCGTCTCTCGCACCAGACCCACGATCACATGTTGTTGAGTGAACAGCCAATATCGGTGTGATGGCTGCGGGGCCCGGGAGTCACTCCCTCGGGTCCTGAACAGATGTCGTACGACTTCATTTTAGCCTTTGAGAACGCTGGCAATACCATACTCGACGATCACTGCGATACGCATGTGGGGCTTTGACTTTATATGAAAAGTAAATTGCTATTGCTGCAAACCCATGTAGGCAGCTGCATGCCAAGGACATCCTCCAAATCCTTCTCACTGATCTCCAGGCCGAATTGTAAAGGGCCAAAAGAACACTCGTTGGAAAGAAGATATCTTATTGCCAGTCTAAAACCTACATAGCTGCAAAACCTTGAGAACAAAGATGCTATGTACTAGCGAGGAGGTATACAGTACTTTTGGGGTGACTAGCTGTTGATCGGCAACGTCGACGTATACAGCACGTGACATCGTTCTCTCCTCCACAGGCGGCTCCTTGTAATCATGTATTCGTTATATCCTCGAAGTCGAATGAGACACCAACTGATGTGTATGACGGTGGTTATTCGTATCGAGGAAGCGTCACAGTCGACTCTTGAGCGAGAGAGGTGGTTCGGTTTCGTAGACGCACGCTCGTTTGAGATGATGCGTGAATCGCTTTCGGGGTATCTAAGGTCGTTATCATATTCAGTGCGGCATGATTTGTAGTCTAGGTAAATCGAAGGATCGATCTCTTATCTGCTTGCAGAGTCGAGATGGAGTGAGCTTCAGGAGAGAAGCGTATTCCGTGGAGATAGTTCATTTGCCAGCCTCTTTCATCGTGATCGCCAGACCGGAGGCAGTACTTGACATGCTGCTACCACTGCCACTTTTCCTTCTGTTGTGTTGTTTGGCGGATTCAGAGCCGGCGCTACCACGTCGACTGTTTGACGTGGGCTGCACAGGGAAGTAGCCAGATCCGTCCTCGACGGCAGAGCGTACTGGCGTCCTTGCCCTGCTCTGCACCGGGCTCATGCGAAACGCTTCTGATCCAGCACTCCACCGCTGGCCCGGGCTTGCGCCGCCTGTCAAACTCCGGGCATGTCTCCGAGTAGGCGTCTCGGCAGGCAATTGGAGCCGTGAGTTGATGCCCATCCACAGCGCCTCTTCGTCATCGTCACCCGGCACTCTCCATCCTCCCACGCCCTCAAAGTCACGCGTCAATTCGCTTGTACCAATGAGCGCCGTGAGAGAGTTGTTCTTATGTTTCAGGAGACGTGACGTGTGCGCCGAGTGTAGAGCTGCATCTTGCGAAGATGTCGTGCTAGCCGTGCTTGCGCGACGATGGCGTTGCCCGGTCGGGGAGTGTCGGGCGGACGAAGGCATAAGAGGAGCCCGAAGCGGAACTGGCTTTGAAGCCGAAGGAGATAGCCATGCGCCTATGATTGCAATGGCGAGACGGCAATACACGGTTAATGCGCGGAAGGAGAGGAGCGATACGGCGATTGAGGTGGTAACAACGGCGAAGAAGGCGAGCGGGATGGAGACGGAGAGCAGGATAAAGGGCGTGACGGCATAGACGGGGTTCCACAGGCTGAGCTCAAGGCTGGATGAGCCCAGTCGAAGGAACATGATGGCGACCCGTGGTGGAGAAGGAAGGAACGATGACGGGTGTTCGCATGTGAAAGTTGCGGGGAAGCGCCAAGGTCAACCAGACGCGACCTCTCCACCCCTTCTCTGCGGAGCACCGACAGCGAGCCTCTCCGCTCAATTTCCGCTGAATCGCCTTGCTGTGGTCCGCGCAGGTGTGATTCCAATTCCGATAAGCACGGCACTGAGCGATGTGCCTTTGAAGATGCTCTCGTACTGCTCGATCTTCAGACGGGTCGAGTAGGGCTGGCGCTTGATGCGGAGAAATGTCGCGCCTGTGACGGCCAGCCAGGCGCCGAAGAGGATTTCGTAACGGTACTTCTCCA